AGGGCAGAAAGCACAAAAAAAAAAAGCAAACGAGAAGAGACGGACCGAGTGGCGCAATACGTGCCGGATTGAATTTCTTGTAGCCAATTCCCCCCCCCAACGCTGCACCATTGCACCAACCTCCCACTAGTGATGACGTACCATTACAATGTATCGCTGGTTGGTGGCCATGTTTGCGTGTTTGCTTGTCGTTAGTGGTCTCTCCACCGTGTGCCTTTTTGTGTTTCTTATTTCTTGTTATTTTCGGCCTGGTCCCTTGTTGTCTTCGCTCTTTTTATTTCGTTTTCTCTTTCCTTCCTGTTTCCTTTTATTTTCTTCTCTTTCTCTCTTTTCTCTCTTTTTCTGTGCCAGATGGCCTTGTCTCTGCGTGCGTTGTGAAGTACCAAGATTGAACCAAGGGGGTGTACCTCTTTCTCTCCGGCCTGCGATGGTGACCCCTAGTCTCAGTTGTTACCTCGCATGGCGCGCAGAGGGAGTGGAGGACTCCAGAATATCTGTCGTTGATTTCTATTGACTTGCGGACCCCTCGGGGCCATTGTAGAGTGTACCTTTTTAGGGTAAGTTAGCCTGCGACCACGGGAATCGACCGCGTCGAGTGTTGGATCAGTGCGGACATACGAAGGTACTGGGTAGAGAGATATCGGAACGGTTTTAAATGTGAAGACAACAACAACAATAAGAAAGCAGACAATCCTCTTGCGTGGGGAAAGACTCGCCCGTCTTCGCCAGCATCAAGCCCAAAATGGGAGGCCACTTCGTGCTCCTCCTCCTACTCTGCTTTGCTGGCTGGTGCTACCACCACCTCTTCGTCGTCGTTGCCTCCGCGGGTCGGGCCCCTCTTCTCCCCCCTTGACTCAACCTAACGGATGTGTTGCTGAACTAAAGCCGCGACCCCAACTTGGTTTCCTAACCGCGCAGCCTCCTTCTGTTCATGGTTGTGGCGCGCCAACGTCAGGGAATTTTTGCTGAGCACTGGGTTTCTCTTTGACCGCGTGGACATGTTCTTTGAGCAGACTGCTGTGTGTGGGTGGGTGGTGCCAGGTGTGTTACTTCGAAGAAGTTGTCTAAACCGAAAAGTTGTGAACAATTTTCCACAAAATGAGCCTCCCCCCGCTCTTGTTGTGAATTTTTTATTGGAGAGAAATGAGATTCTAATCTGGCCTGTGAGGTTTCAGCGCAATATAGGGTCTATCCAAAAATAAAGTTTGTACGTCTGTCGGGCTAATCTAGGTTTAGACTGCAGCACAGTACATCACTGATTTTAGACTACAGGGGTCAGCAGACGCACTTTCTTTTTTTTTACGGAGCACACAGCGGATTGCAGCAGAGAACACGCGCACTGCGGGCGACACCACACAGCAGACGACACACGCACAGCAGACAGCGTACGCATAACAGGCGACACACATGCACAGCGGACGACAGCATCTGGGCTTGATGCCGCTGGACTCTCTGTGGTGTGATGAGGCAATGCATGAAGGAAAAATACATACACACACAGGAGGACTACCCATTCGAGAAACAGCCACATGTATTGCTGTCGCGCATGATTTTTTTTACCGCCGCGTTCAACTGCCAGCATGGGTGCTGTATGTGGCGAGAGCATCGTGGCGATGTGAAGTCCGGTTTGACTTCTTCGCCTGGCGATGCGGCCCGATTGCCCGGGCCAAAAAACGTAGGTCTTCCCACACACAGCACCCATGCCTTACACAACCGTCACGCCCCGAGATATCGCAATGGAGCACACGCTCGAAGTGGTGCCATGGCGATTGGTGCGCTAGGTGACGAGAACTGACTTGTGTCCTGCTGTTTCGCTGTAGGCTTAGGCCCATTCTGCGGGCATAACTTTTAGCATAAATGGCCCTTTTGAGCATAAGAAAAAGCATAACTAAAAAGGAGCAATGCTCGAGCATATTTCAGCCCCGAAGGAGCATATATGCACGCGCGACGAGCATACACTGCTGCATAATGAGCATAACGCTCATAGATAAGGGCATTTCGGTGCTTGACACATGGCCTGAGGGCGCCTGGTGTTCAATCGTTCGATTATTCGGGTACTTCGACATAAACAGAGACAAACGATGAGATAATAATGGACAAGAGTGTTTTTAAGCAGCCAGCAACGTGCGCGCACATGCACGCACACACACGGGCTTCCCCTGCGGATGTCATGGCGCGCTCGGCGATAAGCTCTAGCTCTTCCAGCTCTTCTAGCTCTAGCTCCAGCTCTAACTCCAGCAGCTCCAGCTCCAGCTCCAGCTCCAGCTCCAGCTC